CCCGTTGTCAGTATAATGTGACCGGGTGGGGCGTCCTGCTGGGTGTCTTCGGCAGTATGTTTCAGTGAGGTAGCACTATAAAGTCGGCATCAGTTCCGCGCTATCACAAGGAGACAAACACGAACATATCGCAGCCTCCCAAAATACACACACATACACTACACGCATGCATCTTGCACACAGGGGAGGCCGTCCTTAAATGACCTTAGCCGTTAATAGGACGTTAAACAAAATCAAACAAACAAATCAAACAAATCAACCGTTCGTATTGAACACAACTAACAACTTAGTAATGGCCACTTCACATATCGTTTCTTTTCCCCATGTGACACTCCATTTACAGTGGAGTATTTTTTAATAGAATGTTCCGATTTTAAACACATTCGTGATAACTACTTCCGAGTCCCGGATATGAAAACACTTTTCAGTTCCGTGGATTCGAAGGCATTATTTAACTATTTAAAAGATATCGGTCTATTTTATAGACTCTGATGTCTTTTAACCAACCTAATCATTTTTGACGTTATATATATACCGCATATTCCATATCATCTATTCGTTATCTCTTTTATTATTTTAACCCCCTTTTATCATTATTTTTATTATATACACATACAATGCGAATACTTTTAAAAATGAACCACTTTTATCTGATTTTATCTTCGCGATTCACATGTTTGTTAAAATAAGATAAATAAATAAATAAATCACCATGGCCCTAAATGACCACAGCCGTCGAAGGGCCGTTAAACATAAACAAACAAACAAACAAACTTTCCTAGTGCGCATGCTCAATACATATAAGCATGCAGTCATTATCACGTATTTGTACAAGATGGGGTTTTTGCCAAGTGCCTCCTTTGCCAACAAGTCGAACTGTTTTTGCCCCGCTTCACTGTCACGTGCTGTGTGTTCCCTTTCATCCAGAAGAATAATTATATTTTTCCAAATGTTCCATTTTTTACGTTTTCGCCCGAGGATTTCAGTCTCCAGTTATTACTTTGCCAGCTTTTAAATTCTTTTGATATCACACGGATCGGGTATTCACCGTCTGATTTTATAGTTACAGCATCTGTAATCTACAATTCCTTTAATTTTTCAAGAATTTTAATTGCTCCGTACATTTTATTTAATTTAGTCTGGAGCATCCTTCGGTCAAGAGGACTAAATTTTGTATAAATTGAGGGTGTGGCCCCTTGGGGGCAGAGGGGTGGGTCCAAATAGGTGAAATAGATGTTAAACCTTTAAAACCCTTCTTCTACCACAGGGATTAAGGGATTTCAGCCCAATTTGGTCTGAAGCATCATTGGGCAAAGGCGACTTTATTTTGTATAACATAAGGTGTGGCCCCTCTGCTCTTTGGATGCAAAGTTGCTGGGCTCAAAAGGGGAATTTGAGGTAAAATTCTTCAAAATCCTTCTTCTGAACTATTGGAGGTATTTTATGTAATAAGAACAGTTTTCAGTGGTTGTTTTATTATCCAGGTGAGCGATACAGGCCCTGTGGGCGTCTTGTTTGAATTTATAATCTTTTAAGTTTTAATAAATTTTGGGAAACTGAGAACAAGCCATATAACAAGGATACAAAGTCTTTCCTGGTAAAACATCTGAAAATTGGTCATACATACATCACTGCTGAGAGAGACTAAGGGCGTGGTATCGTATTAACAGATACACAGATCGTATCTGTCTTAAGTTCCCAGCTGTCACATGTCAAAGCTAAGGTTTGGTGATTGACGGGCGACAAGCGAGGAATGTTTCACACAGGTGCTTTATCATATAGCGTTATTAGAGACAAAACAGCATGTTATCACTCCGCGGGCAATTACTTGTAAAAAAAATAACAATTCATTTTCATGGGAAAAAGATTAAATGTACATTGTATAATGTTCCAAAAATTTCTGGAGAAACGTGAATGTTATGTTTAAATGCATTAAAACAGACATATTGCATATGAATGTATGGTACCACATGCATGAAGCAATCAGTAACCCTTTAAAATTTCTTGTTTGTGGCATAGGACGGATATACTTTCAATTCAAAGTTTCTATGGTTTTAATTTGCCTCGACATACAAATGTATTTACAATCAATACCTGCTTAATCAGTATGACAGGTAATAACTATTTATCTAAACATTATCTTCTCGTCATTTACTTACATTGGGCCCGAACTAAACTTTTACAATGTTTGATACTTTTTCTTAGAATATGATAAATCTATTGGTTACGAATGTTGCATTGTTGACGTAACAAATTCCGTATCCTGTCAGTCTGTATAGTACTGACCGGATATATGGTCATGCGCATGATCATTGGATCTGTATAACAATTGACGATTGTACCACTGCTTTGACAATGATATGACTATTGCCTTCCCCTGATATCGTACTTTGCCGTACAGCTGGTAATATGATTAATTACTGTTTAAGTGCTTTACTGACTTGATACGACACTAATCTTGTGTGTGTAATATCTGGCACCTGACACAACTACCAGAAACCGCATTTCATTAACCTAACGTTATCAATCATAACAATACTCCATCATTTATATTTTCTTTGTTCCATCTTCTAATGGGTGGTGCTTTTAATACTTAAAACGTCAGTATAATGAGAGTATACATTTGAAACACACACAGATTCTCATTGTGATTGTTTACTCTTTCCGTTAGTATTACCTCGTTCAAACTTTCAACGTAAAATGGCCGTAACTTTAGGAATTTGCCTTGTGGTCATCTGCGCGTGGGCAATAGATGGCTATCCAGCTAAGGTATCTGAATTTCAAGTCAATCAACTTTCAAAAAATGAATATGAACAAAAAGATGTTTTATTTTCGACGGACATGTCCAACAGTCTGGGCCCGAGAAGAATCGTTGGACCAAATGTAGGACAGTTCCGACCGGAATCGGACTGGACGTACCAGCTAGTGGACAATTTGGACGGGAGGAGTAAACGTCAAAAGAGACAGGTTAAGAAATCATCGGAAAAGAGGAAAGTTCTGCCGCGGAAAAATAAACCAGTCAGAGGAAAGAAGCCTAATCGAGAAAGAAAACCAGTTCAAAACAGACCAAAGGGGCTTCCTCAACGTCAAAATGAGGGTATCTTCAAAAAGTCTCTTCGGGATATTCTCATCCTCGGTACTAAAAAGGAGTCGGTAAGTATCATCTATATAATATTGGATACGTTGTTTCGTTACTTGTAACAACCCCTATTAGTTAAACCTTATCTATCCTATATTCTAATATTTATTAAAATTTCGGTATCTTTTGGTAGCTGTGTAATTTATGTCACGCATTAAAACGTGACTCTTAAATCCTGCAGTAGAAATAATGCTTTAAATGTAAACTTGATTTATTTTACAACAATTATGAAACAAGTTATTTAACGTATATTAATCACCCTTGTTGGTCGGGTAAGAAGCGTGCAGGGAGTCTTAGTGTGGGCGACCCAATACCTTTTCGCGTCCGATCGGAGATTCGAACCCTCGCCGCCTTGGTTAAAGGCGAATGGGTTATCCACTGCGCTACCCGACCAGCTTTTACCATGAATTAATGCTTTCAAATAAGCGTAAAACTTCATAATCATAACATTAAATCATTTTTATTTAAAAAGTATATTTTTTTCTTTGGAAATCTAATAAAAGCTAAAATGAATTGCTGTTGTTCATTTAGCAAAGATTTCTATGCAGAAATAGCGTTACAGGGTCCCAGATGTTAACGCTGTGAAATGTCTATCAATGTGCAGGATGCAACTAATGAGAGCTGGGTTCATTGTACACATGTATTGCACATAAATCGTGTTGTTTCCCTGAGCGTCTAGACCTCATTTGTCTTTTGGGGGAAAGCATGAGCTTAACTGGTTGTATTAACATTATTACCATACATATAGATGTAGTTACTTGTTCTAGGTGCATGTATTAATTGTCAAATCTGACAACATACCCTCAAAGGATGATTCCACACCACCCAAATTTCCGACAACGGAAGACTTGGCAATAATGCCTAAAATCTGTAACAAATAAATATGACAATTTAATAGACATTTCCCTGCAGGTAGGGCGTAAGAATTGTACCTGCTGCCCCGAATTGCATGATCGAAAGAGGCGACTAAATTTGGGACCTTATCCCTTCTCTCCTAAATAACTTTCTTCTTTCTAATGTCTCCCTTGACAATGTCTCACTTTTGGCCATTTGTTGAGCGTTTGCCCCTGTGAGAAAGGCTTTGGGTTCTGTCTCCTGACCGAGACATACCAAAGTCTTTAAAAATGGTAGTTTCTACTCCTCCTTAACGCTCATTAAGTTAGGAGTGGGACGACTGGTTCGCCCGTTGTCAGTATAATGTGACCGGGTGGGGCTTCCTGCTGGGTGTCCTCGGCAGTATGTTTCAGTGAGGTAACACTAAAAAGTCGGTATCAGTACCGCACTATCACAAGGAGACAAACACGAACATATCGCAACCTCTCAGAATACACACACATACACTATACGCATGCATCTTGCATACAGGGGAGGCCGTCCTTAAGTCCGTTATAAGGACGTTAAACAAAATAAAACCAAACCAAATTAATAAACAGTCAAAGCATATGTATATACAAAATCAACATAAATCAAATATAACTACATTGTAAGTATGTAAGCAAAATTTCTGAACAAACAATTGGATATTATTCAATCCGAAAAAAAAAGACATGCATTCTTATTAGTTTAAGTCAAGTGATTAATTTGTTATATTCAACAGCAACAGTTCTGTAGACAAAAATCGGAAAAGGGACACAACTCATAATTTATCAACATAAAAATGCAAAGGTACAAATGTATACTAAGGCACTGACCTAATGTTTCTTAACATGTTCTTCAGGTTGGTAAGTATGGATTATGAGAAGTTCTTTTTACACAACCAATAGGTGTCGCATAGAAAATGTTATTGGTAGTGTGAAAAGAACTTCTCATAACACTGACCTGATGTATGAGATTGAAATTACTTAAACTCTTCGAAAGTCACATGTGTCCAACCAGAAGTGTTAACCTTGAATGGCATTTGAAAATCATGACTCGATCAATCAACTTTCATCACCTCATTATATACCTGTTCCCGCATGTTTGTGAGGGGCTTTAGAGCACTCCCTCCACCAGTTCTCCCCATGCTGCTAACAAAGCCGGCTGCCTCTTTTTCTCGTCTCGCTTCCCATGTCCTGCCGTTTCTTTTTTATCTCATCCTTGTTCCTCTTAAAGCAACTGATTGCATGGATACTGTAAATCAGAAAAAAAAACACTGTATTTGAACATTTAACCCCTCCCAAGCAAAAAACAAGGTTCCTTCTTGTTAATTATTTGTGGGTTTTTTTTTAATAGATCTGGTGTGGGCCAATACACCTGACATATACATGTATCTATTTTTTATGTCAAATGTAATGTATTTGGTTAAGGGAACACTTTTTTTAAGTTTGACATTTAATTCCTGGTTGCAGTAATTTTACCTCAAACATTTTTATCAAAACATATTTTTAGAAAGAAAAAAAAAGATTATTTTTGAGTTACAGCTTAACTTCAATGTTCAATAGATATTTCCTGAATAAGGAAATGAGGACTTCTCGCTATATTCACTCACACTCCCTAGAATATCTGTCTGAGCTGGCTAAATTTCAACACAGACATACAGTAGATAGCATAATCTAATTCCGTGGTTTTAAACATGACTGTAAAGTAATTTAGTAATGAAATCATAACCAGTTTTTAAATCTTTATTTATAGATTTTGCAAAAAATGCATGTGAAACTTTTTGGGTACTGCCGCTATTTGCAACTAATCACTGGTCAGGTTTTTTTCAGTTCTTTTGACAATAAAGTACCATACACTTACCTACAAACTTTGGTTAAACCATTGACACTGCTGCTGTCTCCGGTAACTAAAATGCGACTAATATGCACTAGGCCAGAGACATGCCTAGTAGACAACAACTGCGATAGTATGTATCGATCGATACCTCTTTATTAAATCCAGTACACACACTTTTTGTCACAATATGGCCAGTTATCTACTGTAAGGAAAAATAGGAAATTACGAGTTACAATTAAAAGTACGAGTTGGTTTTGTGTCTTACCTGTTGGTGATGCGCTGCCATACCTCAGCTTTCTTCTTGACGGTTATGACAGCGCTAAATTGGCTCTGTATTACATGTATATTATTGGCAATTGCCAGCTCCACAAGGACTTGACACTCATTCTCCGTGAAATTTGTCCGTCTTTTAACTCCAGAAATCTTACAGATCGTTTCGTTTTCCATAGTAGAGTCGAGCTGTCAAATCCAACTGTTAAGCTTACAGAGTGTCGTCTGCGCGAACCTCCACGCTAGAGAGTTCCGCTTTAAATTCCGCAAAAGTAAGTGGAGATAATTAGGCCTGCTTGAACATGTTAATGTATCAATTCCTTGTTGAAGATTTGCATCATAGGCCTAACGTTACATTGAAACACGGACTTAAATAGCATCTGATCAAATTCCGTGATTGAAATAAGATTCGCCGATGCTGGATCATTCACTTCTGGTTTAAGTTACGTGCACGTAAACCCGAACGTAAGTGTGAGAAGTTACGTACGATTTCGTGAAACGCCCTGTACGTAACTTACGTGCACTTAGTTACGTGCACGTAAATATTTACGTTTATGACAGCGCTAAATTTGCTCCGTATGACATTTATATTTGCAATTGCCAGCTCCACAAGGACTTGACACTCATTCTCCGTGAAATTCGGTCGTCTTTTAACTTTGGAAATCTCGCAGACCGTTTCGTTTTCCATAGAACTTTATAAAGTCGAGCTGTCAAATCCCACTGTTTAAGCTTACAGAGTGTCGTCTGCGCGAACCTCCACGCTAGAGAATTCCGCTTTGAATTCCGCAAAAGTAAGTGGAGATAATTAGGCTTACTTGAACATGTTAAAGTATCAATTCCTTGTTGAAGATTTGCATCATAGGCCTAACGTTACATTGAAACACGGACTTAAATAACATCTAATCAAATTCCGTGATTAAAATAAGATTCGCCGATGCTGGATCATTCACTTCCGGTTTAAGTTACGTGCACGTGACTATTTACTCGTCGTGAAACGGCACCCAGATTCGGACTCAATGTACTATTTATAGGCCCGGTAAAGACTACGTTTTAAAAATGTAATTACTCAGTAGAATCCAATTGAGTTGGCGTCCGAGGTCCGTCGTCCGTCCTTAAACAATCCTTGTGATCGCTATTTCTCAGGAAGTACCAGATGGATCTTTTTTCAAATTACATATTATAGGTTTCCCTTGGTTCCTTGTTGTGCATGATTTTTTTTAAGACTAATCAGATAAACAAAATGGCCGACAGGAACGCCATTTTAGATTTTGACAGTGAAGGTTTGTTATCGCTATTTCTCATGAAGTACTTGATAGATCTTTCTCAAATTTTATATGTAGGTTCCCCCTTGGTCCTTAGTTGTACATGTTTACTTTCGAGAATGATCAGATAAATAAAATGGCCGACATGCAGCCATCTTGGATTTTGACATTGAAGGTTTGTTATCGATATTCCTCAATAAGCACTGGAGAGATCTTTCTTAAATTTGACATGTAGGTTCCCCTCGGTCTGTAGTTGTGCATATATTTTTTTCAACTGATCGGATAAACAAAATGGCCGACAGGAAAGCCATCTTCGATTGTGACATTAAAGGTTTGTTACCGCAATTTCTCAGGAAGTAATGGAGGGATCTTTATAGTACTGTACTAGTTTATATATGAAATGATAAACTCACTTTGAAGGTTGTCTTTTATACACAGCAGTATTAAGTTTAAATCAAAAGTTACTTCAATTTGCATTTACTGTTAACATGACTCGATCAAACAGATAAAAGAAAAAAAGAGAAAAGATCAAAGTGACAAAGAACTAATGAAGATTGTACAATAGTGGGCGCCAAGATCCCTCTGGGATCTCTTGTTATAATTCATGACAACTCGCAGTTGATTCCGTATAGAGTGGTATAGAGCTTTAATTTGTGGTCAGTGAAATAACTAGGTACATGTACGACTAGGAGAGCTGCGCACAGCTTAATTTCACTGTTTTTCCTTAGAAATAGAAATCACCTCCTCATAATAATAAAGGGGTCAATGTAATGAACAAATGGCTAAATTGGTTGAAATTCGCGCTGTACTTCAACTAAATCCTGGAACACCTCTCTCACAATAGCATTTATCACAATATCAAACGAAAATACACGTTCACGTATCTTGTAAATTTTGAAGATAAAAGGTCTTTAAAGTTTCTATATTTTCTCTTTCTTCCATCACCTAGCAAAAGAAAGGCAAACCCAACGGAACCAGACGAAAAACGCCACGACGTTCCAATAAAGGCAGTTTTTCTATCGTTCCCGCCAAACCAAAGCCCAGACGAGGCTGGAGGTCAAGGTTAAGGTCACGTGCAAGGGCAATGGCCAGGGCAAGAGCAAGATCAGGATCGGGATCACGGAAACCTAAATCAAAGAAGATTACCAGGAAAACAGTTCGTAGAGGATTTGTCATATTGGACTAAAAATGGAGAAAACGAAGGCTTTCACAACACAGGGACTTAAATTTAGCTAGTCAGATGTATGATATACTAAAGCGGGAGGGGAGGGGCTGGAAAAAGATCAGAAATATCAATAGCATATGTTGTTGTTTTTCGGGATTTTAAAAGAAATATTTAGAGTAAATTATTTAAAATAATTCAAACAATAAACATGGCTAGCTAAATTCAAGAGCAAATATGCGACAGAAAAGTAAATCAAACGAAACCACAACTGACTTGTTATTCTACCGTAAGGAAGTAAATGTCCTGCTTGAGACATAAACAGTTGAATGATTGATTGAAGTTTACGTTTGAAAGACATCAGTCAGTCACAATATATACACAAGCCTTGAGCTGTTGTTTCCGTATATAGGTACTGTTATAATTGATTAAATTAAATGCAGACTGTATTTTCTGTAAGCCATCAATTTCGATCCCGGGATATGCCTAATTTATGTTTTCAGATTTCATTTTAACGAAAACATCACCTGATTTTAATTTTGATGTGTTGCCTCCTTGAGTTAATGACATAATGCTTCCTGGAAACAAAAACACGTGTTTCTGTTTTAATGTCATGACCCTTATGATCATAGATCCAAAATGGATTTGTAAATTCATGCTAACCGTTTTGCTTAATAAAGCAAAAAGACAACAACACACATTTCACCTTATGTCTTATTAAACAAAAAATATTATGTGTACACCATGCAATTATATGTACATTTCAACTGAAAGTTTACATCTCCACTTCAGGTTCGTATATACGCCTAACCAGAAGAAATTGCGTTCGTAGGGCTGTGTTTGCAATTTAATCAGTGTCATTTTGAGGCTGTTCCAGTAATCATGTTTTCACTGACGACACAGTCACTACAATATAGAGGAATTGTAAGGGAATACCCATGTTTAGATAAATAATAACAATACATTAGTTCAGGCTGTAAATAAATGTATTGAACAGCATTGACATAAAAAAGTGACTTTCAATCCTTATATTAAAAATAAAGTATCCTGTGACATAATACCTTGTTTCTTTATGACGTCATGTATAGATATTGGTCAGTGAGATTATTATCGCTTCACTTCGGATAACATGAATAACGCTTTTGAGTAAAACGCTCAAATGACGTACAATTTTACTTTTTTGAGAAACAGGACACGGATTTAATTGAAAATCTCAAAGATAAATATGCCAGTGAAAGATATCTTTTAGGAATAGCATGTTCGTGTGAATCTAAATATGAAAACACGTAAATGAAAAGGCGCATAAAAAACAAACATTTTACGAAACACTTTTATTTTTATAAATATTCCACGTTCTTAAAACTTCAGATTTGTGTTCTTCACAAAAGTCACTTTCACTCTTGGTGTCTTTTTATAATTATCCTTTCTTTGCTTTGTTATGAAAAATATATACACAAAGAAGAGTCCGAATGGCACTGAAGTGATTCCTCCAAATATAGACAATCCGAACGCCCAGCTAAACGACCCGCCGACAGAGTTGTCTGACGAGAACAAGATGGCACCCATTAAGGTCAAAACACCTGTAAATAAAGAATGGAAATGCTTTAAAGTTATAATATTACAAACTGCGGGGTATTTCCAGTCATGTTTGAATGTGACAGTGTAATTTCTACTGAGGTTATTAACAGTTTTAAACGTTAGGTATCATGCCAGTTACTATGCCCACTATATATAAATCATGGTGAAATATGTTCAGAAAATACTGCTCCGTCGTTTAAAACTTCGTTAAAATAACGTGTATAGTATCTAAAAAGTAAGCTTATCTAGTGCTACCGTATTAAATTATATTTGAAGGTTCAGAAATCTTCCCAAATGTTTGTTTCGTATAATTTTCAACTTAAATTTCCCATTTTTATAGTTTATACGCTGTGGTACTGAACCCTGTGGGGGGGGGGGGGGGGGAGAGATGAAGAAAACGTAGTATATTGACCAATAGGAGGTTAGGGTATCCTAATAAGCTGTGTTGTGGCTGCAATATTAAACTTCAGTCCAGAGCATAAACTCGAGTTACCTCCCTTACATTGCAATATCTTTGGCCGAGTAACGTGTGCTTTGCCACTCTGACCAAATATAGCAGGATGTTCTTCAACGAAGACTGTTCAAACTGTTATTTTGGAAATAACTACAGCTGTTAGATAACGTCATATGAAAGGACTGAATTGTAACATTTTCGGATTTAGAGCCCAAATTTAAACATGTATGATAAAAAGACAACAACTTCTAAATCCGCTCTTTTTTTGGAACACACGTACCTTTCCTTAAGATTGATATTAACTATTTTTGTTCTCAAACTGAGTGATCATGGGTTTAAATGCTTACTAGATCCGTTAAAGACGAACATTAGTTGAGATACCAGGGTATCATCTAGAAATATGCCACATTATATATGTAGAACATGTTTGACATCCAATGAATATGATTTATATAAAACAAAAACGTTAAATTAATGGTAAATACTTAAATGGCTGCGTGCTACCATAGTGACGATGCATGCAGTTTAAAATCGTACCTATTTTATAATATTACTCACGCATACTGGTGATTCTTAGGAGTAAAGTTGCATATTTTGAATGAAGCATTTTCTTTGTGTACTGTTATTAAAGAAAAGTTCGTTATATTTTACATTCGTTCCTAGTTCGATTACGAAAGAATTCGAGAACGAGAGTGATTACATTTAGGAAAGCCAGACAAAAAAAGAAAACTATGGCCCTAAACCTGAACCTTGGCATACTCCAGCTCTCAATAACTTTCACAAGTAAAACATATTGTTTGTAATTCTCTAATGAAAAAAAAACAGGCAATGTATATNCTGCAAAACATGGCGAAAATCAACTGCGGTTTTAAACACGTATTTTACGTTTCTTATCGATGTTTAAATTATTATGCTACATTGATATAAATCATATATTACCCGAATCAAGTAATATCATTTAGTAAAATCATGGGATGTAAAAAATGTTTTCCTGACGTCGTGCGCAAACAATATTGCAGCAAAATTGGCCGGAAAAAGGGCTGACCTTAACAACGTTACATTGACCTTGACCGGAAGTGTCTTCTCCTAGAAATGTTTGATCGTGCTCGTGCATATTGAGTGGTCAGGACGTTTGATGTCCATTTGCTCAAGAGAAACATGAGTGGTCCTTAATGAGACAAGAAGATGATAAGTGCACTTGCAGGCATGTGCAACTTACCAGAGTATTCAGTCTCTCTTTGATTAGGCCAAGAGTTCAGATATATGTTTCCTGTGATCTCTGTTCTTTTCGAAATCATTTCAATAGAAAATGACAGTACAGAGATTTGCACAAAATATTTAGGCAGGTGTTAGAATAATTTTTTTTTTAAATGTATTGTCTAGTATTTTGGTGGATATTTACATGTAGTTGATATGTCATGCTAATCGGCAATCTAATTAATTAGATAGTGCTTATTGGCAACTTTGAAAGCGGACCAGGTCGGTCACCAACAAATAAGCGTTTGTACCTCTGTGGTCTTATAGACCATTAACATTGCTCGTCCTTACACGTGTGACGTACAAAATCCTGTAGTGCTTGACCCGTGGTCAGTGTGCAGGTGGGAGGTCATTAAACATACATAAGAGCCACTTACTGGACACTAAGAACAGAGATCCGATGACCACTGCTATTACTTTGTGGAACTTTTTGCTGTCGTGGAAAGCGAATATAATCATGCCGACCTCTGCGCCAGTCTGAAAGATGAACGCCAGCAGTTCGAACGCTTGCGCTGCTCTGAAAGTACCTACAAGATTAAAGAAAATTAACGAACATTAAATTAAACTCGCTTAAACAAACATGGTGTTTCAAATTCTTCTGCGCTTAATTGCCTACTTGCCAGGGATCAATCAAAATATATAAATATAAATTTATTTACATTACAACAATTATGAAACAACTTATTTCAACTTATATTAATCACTCTTGTTGGTCCGGATATTTGCGAACGGGGAGTCTTATATTAATGTGTGTGGAACCCGGACTACTCGGAAAACCCACGTGGTCGGGCAGGTGACTCCATACCTTTTCAGGTCCGATCGGGGGAATCGAACCCCGGCCGCCTTGGTGAAAGGCGAGTGTGTTAGCATGTACGCCACCCGACCACCCGTTGTCAAAGTTAAGGTCCCACATTAGCATATGTTATTTCAGAAAAAATGTCAATATCTTGAGTAAGTTACCTCCTTGTAATCAGTTTTTACAGTAGTACCTGTTTCAGTAGACGATCTAACCTTGCTGCACCAAATAAATATTCCCTATCCCCCAACAAAGACAGCCTCGATACATCATTAGTCTGTAATCATTCGCTTTTCTTTATTTCTTTATAAATATAGATAAATTTACTTATAAAGCCTTTTTAATTATCATTCACAATACCTAAACATATCATGATTTTGGCGATGGAATTTTGATTTCAATGTTTATATAATTACCGAATCTGTAGATATACATTTACATATTTGCAATAACAATGGTTAAAGTACGTTTCATTCTGAAGATTCTGTGTAATTTTTTTATTTGTTCATATATATTCATAAGCTTAGAACAGTGTAGTCACTGACACATTGTACTTAACGGGTTACACCGAGTAATTAAAAAAATATTAAATATTTCAAAATACTATTTAAATGTTAGACATGAATTCACCCCCGCTCCCTCGAACCACCGAGTGTCCTATACCTCCATGAAGCCGGATGTCGTCGAAATCGCTCAATCCAGCAAACGAGGTTCAATGAGTACAAATTGCGTGAACTTGTCAATAAGATACTTTATCAACTTAGCACTGAACAATATATATACATGTATATCTTTGTATATATTAATCGATTGCGGAGAAAAAGGGTCCGGAATACGTCATTTCTACATAGAAAATATACATTTTGGTGGTGAATAGTAGGAATCAAGGCCACTTTGACCCGCATTTTATTCGCCTGTGTCTTTGACATATTTAAACTGGTGCATTTTACAACTTACCTGTCAAACTTCCGGAATCCCATGTTACGCACGCAGTGGGACCGGAAGTGGTGGTGCTGCATTCCGACCATATACCATAAAAGTATCCAACAGTGGCCAGACTTGACCCTTGGTCGTACTTGACCCAATAAGGGGTCACCAACCCTAGGGACTGAAGAAAGTAACAGATGAAGGACAGAAACACAACCCCGGCGATATATTTCGACCCGGGTACATCCAAACCAAAACATTTGTTCTTAAACGATTCCATGATGCCCATTCCGGAAGTTCACAATTAACAACCAAAGAAGTCAACGGCTTGCTGTCTAAACTCCAGTTATTATTAAGACCATGTACAACTGCATGCGATACAAATCGTTTCGTTAAAGGGCAACATTCCCCTGTGGAATAATTGTTATCACGGAACGCCTGGCAAACACTATTTCAAATAATCCACGATTAAATCTCTTTAAATGAACCTGCCGTTCAAGTATTAGTGAGTTAATCTTTATAATAATGTCTCTGAATATGTGTGTGTGAGTGTGGGTTTTTATAAACAATGTATATGCATACCACCTGATGTGAGTTTAAAAGCGTACATCAATAATCCAATAATCGGATAATTAGACCAACCTTATATGTATTGGACATTAAGCTTGAATTTATTTTAAATCTTTATTAAGATCAAGCTATATACCCGACAAGATTAACGCATCCTATTTATACGTAGTTTTCTTTCCTTTTATAGGTTGAAGTAAGCGATTTTAAAAACATTTATCATACAAATTGACATTAAAAAATGTCAATCTCCCTTGCAAAATGATAGATATGCGCAAGCGAATATAATACACAATACAAAAACGGGAAACCTGATCCGGAAAAATGCATACCTAAAATAGTACGACATTTTAATGGCGTAACATTACTCTCCGCCAATCAGAAAATTCGACTTTGATTTATCTAAACAAAGTCTCGATGCCGAATAGCTGCAGGTTTTTGATTGGACAATGACAGCTGCTACATACAGCAATTGTAATTTGTTAAAACCTCAGACAAGTCGGCCATATAGCTATTTAACGCTCGATTTATCATATGCTGATAGCTGCCTTCAACACTCCATTAGATGGAGTTTGAAACCAGCAGGGACTGTTAATAGCCGGGAATGTAAGGGGGCCATGTCTGTCAGTGCCTGCATTTACACGCTTATAACTGTCAATGACTCTGACAGAATCTGTGTTTACATGGATCTTGTATGTGTTTACACGGTATTTACAAGATACAATGTCATTATTTACAGCATACGATATTTACATACAAGTTACATTGTATTCATATACATTGTACTATATTCATGCGACAATAATGTCTGTTTTACTATATGCTTGGCCGTTTTGTCTTCCTATTCATTATCTATATAATTGGAGTTGTTTCCATTCCAAACGGGACATGTAGAAACAATTTTCAATTTCAACACTTCCCTTATGAGTGGTTTGGGGGTTGGGGGGATATTTAATATTACTATGTAGAAACACTTATTTTTCTTGTGGTTGGTGGGGGTTTCATCATTACTANGGGGCGTAGGGTAGGATAGGGGGCAGGCAATCCATGATATTACACAAAAAATAAAAATGAAAACTATGAAAACAATAATTTTCTACAAATCGCTTTAACAGTAATTAAATGAGCCGCTGTTGCTTACTCGTTAATAACGGGAAAGACAATGATGTTATATCAAAGAGATTCCATCCACTCCTAACGAATCTAGGGTCAAGATTGCTCTATCAAAGGAATTGCCCAATCTCTAGACTCGTCCCTTTGAGTCCCGAGACTTAAGTTACAGCCATCTTGTAAGCTGTCATAAAACCTGATCGAATAACCGTTTGATACTTACAACAATGCGCACGCACAACGAAATATTTGCTACAAGTCACGTGACTGGTTATATTTATATATTATGATTGATTATGATCTATGCCTGGGTTTTGTTCTGAGATGAAACTCCACGTTTATTTATTGTTTAAAACACACCCTGTATGTATTGTTAATATATAGATGATGTGTGCACGTGCATGTATGTATGTGATGCTGCAGTGCATATGAACATCAGTAATGAGTAGTCCTTTGTTCTGAATGGAGCTTTGAGTGGGTGTCAAGTGTGTTGGGTAGGGCACGTGTTTATAACGATATTGTATCGTATCACTACTGAGGTTCACCCGTTATCAGTATAATGTGACCGGGCGGGATACTGTGCTGGGTGCCTTCGGAATGGTATTGCAGTGAGATAGCACTATAAAGTCGACATCAGATCCACGCTATCACAAGGAGGCAAGTACACCAACATACCCAGTCTCCAGCACACATACACATTGCTGAACGTTAAGCATGGAACAGCAACTACCGCCGTTGTGCCAGTGTTGTAGGAGTTTCCGTTGTAGACTGTTGTGCCGGTGTTGTAGGAGTTTTCGTTGTAGACTGTTGTGCCGGTGTTGTAGGAGTTTCCGTTGTAGATCGTTGTGCCGTTGTCGCAGGAGTTTCCGTTGTAGACTGTTGTGCCGGTGTTGTAGGAGTTTTCGTTGTATACTGTTGTGCCGTTCTTGTATGAGGTTCCGTTGCATACTGTTGTGCCGTTGTTGTAGAAGTTTCCGTCATAGACCGTTGTGTCGTTGTTGTAGGAGTTTCCGTTGTAGCCCGTTGGGTCGGTGTTGTAGGAGTTTCCGTTGTAGACCGTTGTATCGGTGTTGTAGGAGTTTCCGTTCACGACCGTTAGGCCGGTGTTGTAGGAGTTTCCGTTGTAGACTGGTGTGTCGGTGTTGTAGGAGTTTCCGTTGTAGACTGTTGTGCCGGTGTTGTAGGAGTTTCCGTTGTATACTGTTGTGCCGTTGTTGTATGAGTTTCCGTTGTATACTGTTGTGCCGTTGTTGTATGAGTTTCCGTTGCATACTGTTGTGTCGGTGTTGTAGGAGTTTCCGTTGTGTTGTTGTTGTAGGAGTTTCCGTTGTGTCGGTGTTGTAGGAGTTTCCGTTGTAGACTGTTGTGTCGGTGTTGTAGGAGTTTCCGTTGAGGATCGTTAGGCCGGTGTTGTAGGAGTTTCCGTTGTAAACTGGTGTGTCGGTGTTGTAGGAGTTTCCGTTGTAGACTGTTATGCCGGTGTTGTAGGAGTTTCCATTGTAGATCGTTGTGCCGTTGTCGCAGGAGTTTCCGTTGTAGACTGTTGTGCCGGTGTTGTAGAAGTTTTCGTTGTATACTGTTGTGCCGTTGTTGTGGGAGTTTCCGTTGTATACTGTTGTGCCGTTGTTGTAGGAGTTTCCGTTGTAGACCGTTGTGTCGGTATTGTAGGAGTTTCCGTTGTAGATTTTGTAGCCCGTTGTGTCGTTGTTGTAGGAGTCTCCGTTGTAGCCCGTTGTGTCGGTGTTGTAGGAGTTTCCGTTGTAGACTGTTGTGTCGGTGTTGAAGGAGTTTCCGTTGAGTACCGTTAGGCCGGTGTTGTAGGAGTTTCCGTTGTAGACCGTTGTGTCGGTGTTGTAGGAGTTTCCGTTGTGTCGGTGTTGTAGGAGATTCCGTTGTGTCGGTACTGTAGGAGTTTCCGTTGTAGACCGTTGTGTCGATGTTGTAGGAGTTTCCGTTGTGTCGGTGCTGTAGGAGTTTCCGTTGTAGACCGTTGTGCCGGTGTTGTAGGAGTTTCCATTGTAGACTGTTGTGATGTTGTAGGAGTTTCCGTTGTGTCGGTGTTGTAGGAGTTTCCGTTGTGTCGGTATTGTAGGAGTTTCCGTTGTAGACCGTTGTGTCGATGTTGTAGGAGTTTCCGTTGTGTCGGTGTTGTAGGAGTTTCCGTTGTGTCATTATTGTAGGAGTTTCTGTTGTAGACCGTTGTGTCGATGTTGTAGGAGTTTCCGTTGTGTCGGTGTTGTAGGAGTTTCCGTTGTTTCGGTGTTGTAGGAGTTTCCGTTGTGTCGGTATTGGAGGAGTTTCCGTTGTAGATTGTTGTGATGTTGTAGGAGCTTCCGCTGTAGACCGTTGTGATGTTGTAGGAGTTTCCGTTGTAGACCGTTGTGTCGGTGTTGTAGGAGTTTCCGTTGTAGATCGTTGTGCCGTTGTCGCAGATATTTCCGTTGTAGACTGTTGTGCCGGTGTTGTAGGAGTTTCCGTTGTATACTGTTGTGCCGTTGTTGTAGGAGTTTCCGTTGTTGCCCGTTGTGTCGGTGTTGTAGGAGTTTCCGTTGTAGACCGTTGTATCGGTGTTGTAGGAGTTTCCGTTTAGGACCGTTAGGCCGGTGTTGTAGGAGTTTCCATTGTAGACTGGTGTGTCGGTGTTGTAGGAGTTTCCGTTGTAGACTGTTGTGTCGGTGTTGTAGAAGTTTTCGTTGTAGACCGTTGTGCCGTTGTTGTAGGAGTTTCCGTTGTCGCCCGTTGTGTCGGTGTTGTAGGAGTTTCCGTTGAAGACCGTTGTGCCGGTGTTGTAGGAGTTTCCGTTGTAGATCGTTGTGCCGTTGTCGCAGGAGTTTCCGTTGTAGACTGTTGTGTCCGTGTTGTAGGGGTTTCCGTTGTATATGTCGATGTTGTTGCCGTTGTGTCGATGTTGGCATACTGTTGTGCCGTTGTTGTAGGAGTTTCCGTCATAGACCGTTGTGCCGTTGTTGTAGGAGTTTCCGTTGTAGCCCGTTGTGTCTGTGTTGTAGGAGTTTCCGTTGTAGACTGTTGGGTCGGTGTTGTAGGAGTTTCCGTTGTAGACCGTTGTATCGGTATTGTAGGAGTTTCCGTTGAGGACCGTTAGGCCGGTGTTGTAGGAGTTTCTGTTGTAGACTGGTGTGTCGGTGTTGTAGGAGTTTCCGTTGTAGACCGTTGTGTCGGTGTTGTAGAAGTGCAGGAGGTTCCGTTGTAGACTGTTGTGCCGGTGTTGTAGGAGTTTCCGTGTGTTGTAGAAGTTTCCGTTGTAGACCGTTGTGCCGGTGTTGTAGGAGTTTCCGTGGTAGACTGCTGTGATGTTGTAGCATTTTCCGTTGTAGACCGTTGTGTCGGTGTTGTAGGATTTTCCGTTGTAGACCGTTGTGTCGGTGTTGTAGAAGTTTCCGTTGTGTCGGTATTGTAGGAGTTTCCGTTATAGACCGTTGTGTCGATGTTGTAGGAGTTTCCGTTGTGTCGGTATTGTAGGAGTTTCCGTTGTAGATTGTTGTGATGTTGTAGGAGCTTCCGCTGTAGACCGTTGTGTCGGTGTTGTAGGAGTTTCCGTTGTATACTGTTGTGCCGTTGTTGTATGAGTTTCCGTTGCATACTGTTGTGCCGTTGTCGTAGGAGTTTCCGTTGTAGCCCGTTGTGTCGTTGTTGTAGGAGTTTCCGTCATAGACCGTTGTGTCGGTTTTGTAGGAGTTTCCGTTGTAGACTGTTGTGTCGGGGTTGTAGGAGTTTCCGTTGTAGACCGTTGTATCGGGGTTGTAGGAGTTTCCGTTGAGGACCGTTAGGCCGGTGTTGTAGGAGTTTCCATTGTTGACTGGTGTGTCGGTGTTGTAGGAGTTTCCGTCGTAGACTGTTGTGTCGGTGTTGTAGAAGTTTTCGTTGTAGACTGTTGGCCGTTGTTGTAGGAGTTTCCGTCATAGACCGTTGTGTCGGTTTTGTAGGAGTTTCCGTTGTAGACTGTTGTGTCGGTGTTGTAGGAGTTTCCGTTGTATACTGTTGTGCCGTTGTCGCAGGAGTTTCCGTCATAGACCGTTGTGCCGTTGTTGTAGGAGTTTCCGTCATAGACAGTTGTGTCGGTGTTGTAGGAGTTTCCGTTGTAGACTGTTTTGGCGGTGTTGTAGGAGTTTCCGTTGTAGACCGTTGTATCGGTGTTGTAGGAGTTTCCGTTGAGGACCGTTAGGCCGGTGTTGTAGGAGTTTCCGTTGTAGACTGGTGTGTCGGTGTTGTAGGAGTTTCCGTCGTAGACTGTTGTGTCGGTGTTGTAGAAGTTTTCGTTGTAGACTGTTGGCCGTTGTTGTAGGAGTTGCCGTCATAGACCGTTGTGTCGGTTTTGTAGGAGTTTCCGTTGTAGACCGTTGTGTCGATGTTGTAGGAGTTTCCGTTGTGTCGGTGCTGTAGGAGTTTCCGTTGTAGACCGTTGTGCCGGTGTTGTAGGAGTTTCCATTGTAGACTGTTGTGATGTTGTAGGAGTTTCCGTTGTGTCGGTGTTGTAGGGTTTCCGTTGTAGCCCGTTGTGTCGTTGTTGTAGGAGTTTCCGTCATAGACCGTTGTGCCGTTGTTGTAGGAATTACCTTTAAAGACCGTTGTGCCGTTGTTGTAGGAGTTTCCGTTGTAGACCGTTGTATCGGTGTTGTAGGAGTTTCCGTTAAGGACCGTCAGGCCGGTGTTTTAGGAGTTTCCGTTGTAGACTGGTGTGTCGGTGTTGTAAGAGTTTCCGTTGTAGCCCGTTGTGTCGGTATTGTAGGAGTTTCCGTTGTAGATTGTTGTGATATTGTAGGAGTTTCCGCTGTAGACCGTTGTGATGTTGTAGGAGTTTCCGTTGTAGACCGTTGTGCCGGTGTTGTAGGAGTTTCCGTTGTAGACCGTTGTGTCGGTGTTGTAAGAGTTTCCGTTGTAGCCCGTTGTGACTGGTGTGTCGGTGTTGTAGGAGTTTCCGTTGTAGACCGTTGTGCCGGTATTGTAGGAGTTTCCGTTGTAGATTGTTGTGATATTGTAGGAGTTTCCGCTGTAGACCGTTGTGATGTTGTACGAGTTTCCGCTGTAGACCGTTGTGCCGGTGTTGTAGGAGTTTCCGTTGTGTCGGTGTTTTAGGATTAACCGTTGTAGAACGTTGTGCCAGTGTTGTAGGTGTTTCCGTTGTAGACCGTTGTGTCGATGTTGTAGGAGTTTCCGTTGTTTTGGTGTTGTAGGAGTTTCCGTTGTGCCAGTGTTGTAGGAGTTTCCGTTGTAGACCGTTGTGCCAGTGTTGTAGGAGTTTCCGTTGTTTTGGTGTTGTTGGAGTTTCTGTTGTAGACCGTTGTGTCGATGTTGTAGGAGTTTCCGTTGTGTCGGTGTTGTATGAGTTTCCGTTGTAGACTGATGTGTTGTTGTAGGAGTTTCCGTTGTAGACCGTTGTGCCGGTGTTGTAGGAGTTTCCGTTGTGTCGGTGTTGTAGGAGTTTCCGTTGTGTCGGTGTTGTAGGATTTTCCGTTGTAGACCGTTTTGGTGTTGTAGGAGTTTCCGTTGTAGACCATTGTGTCGATGTTGTAGGAGTTTCCGTTGTGTCGGTGTTGTAGGAGTTTCTGTTGTGTCGGTGTTGTAGGATTTTCCGTTGTAGACCGTTTTGGTGTTGTAGGAGTTGCCGTTGTAGACCATTGTGTCGATGTTGTAGGGGTTTCCGTTGTGTCGGTGTTGTAGGAGGTTCCGTTGTAGACCGTTGTGTCGGTGTTGTAGAAGTTTCCGTTGTTGACCGTTGTGCCGGTGTTGTTGGAGTTTCCGTTGTGTCGGTGTTGTAGGAGTTTCCGTTGTAGACCATTGTGTCGATGTTGTAGGAGTTTCTGTCGTGTCGGTGTTGTAGGATTTTCCGTTGTAGACCATTGTGTCGGGGTTGCAGGAGGTTCCCCTGTGGCGGTGTTGTAGGGGGTTCTGTTGTGCCGGGGTTGTAGGGGTTTCCGTTGTGTCGGTATTGTAGGAGTTTCCGTTCTAGACCGTTGTGTCGGTGTTGTAGAAGTTTCCGTTGTAGACCGTTGTGCCGGTGTTGTTGGAGTTTCCGTTGTGTCGGTGTTGTAGAAGTTTCCGTTGTTGACCGTTGTGTCGGTGTTGTAGGATTTTCCGTTGTAGACCGTTGTGCCGGTGTTGTAGGAGTTTCCTCCGTTGTGTCGGTATTGTAGGAGTTTCCGTTCTAGGTTGTGTCGGTGTTGTAGGAGTTTCCGTTGTTAGCCCGTTGTGTCGGGGTTGTAGGAGTTTCCGTTGTGTCGGTGTTGTAGGAGCTTCCGTTGTAGACTGTTGTGCCGGTGTTGTAGGAGTTTCCGTTGTAGACTGTTGTGCCGTTGGTTACTACTTATCGCATTGCCGCTATATAACCCGATCGTATTGAAATAATATAAAATCATCAACATGAAATAAGAAAACAGCCAATATGGGGAAACAAACATATCAAAATAAAAAAAGTACTAATTTGTACTTACTGGATATAAACAATTTTAGGATACTCCAGAACATACCACATAAGTGAATGCAATCAATGTTTTAACGTACCGAGTTCCGCGTCTTTCAACACAGCTTCATCAATATCAAACCCCACCCCCCTTTCACAATAGAAAATTCGAAATAAAATTGATATAAGCTATAATATGTATGCCATGGCCAGATTGCTGACGTCATAAAGTTAAGTATTTGATACGACTGACGTTCACTTGAAGATAGCTGTATTAATCATTAAACAAGCAAGCAGAATTCCTATACTGTAAAATCATAAATTTTCGTGGGACATTAAATTTCGTTTATTTCGTGGATAACAAAAATCCACGAAATTAAATCCCCACGAATACATAAATTTGGTATGATATAGATAGGGGAAAATCAGAAATCAGCGAAATATAATGTCCTTGTAACAGGCTATAGTATATGAAAACCACGAAATTTTAACGTCACGAAAAATTTACAGTACTAAATTGAACTAAACGCTCAAGTAATCACCTAATTAAATTTGTTAGTTTGTTTCTATAGTATTGAGATATATCACAATTATTCCAATTGACAAGCACTTGTAATATAAATACCAATCCAAAGGTAAATTCAATTATATTCAGTGTAAACGCGCTTCACTGAATTTGCATTTGTCGTCCAGCCGACATTCACATTGCCTATAAATGCCAACTGAAAGCAGGTCAATGGTGAGATAAAATTTATATAACAATTGGTATGAGCTTCTGTCACATAGCCTATTGTGGCGTAATATCTAAAATATTTTCAGCCTTCAAGAATATTCGCAATTTTCTTTACCATACGATATATAAAGGATCAATCCTTTCTAAAATTCGTCAAGATTTTTTTCTGTTAAACCAACCGGAGCCTCGTTAAAGAAATAAAAAGTTAAGCTTTATTAATCTCATGAAATAAAATATCATGCAAAATGCTATGTAATAATATGCTTTTGGTAATTCCCTGTATAAGTTTGTCATAACTTTGAAAATTGAGTTATCCGATTCCCATTTTAAAGGCGCTGCTTTTTTCTCAACTGTGAAACTAATTGCCGGAGATAGCGGCTTCAGATAAGTATCCCGAAACAACTCAAGGCGATTTACCAAGGGAAAGTCTATATCTAAAGGCAGTTAGGTGGGGATGGAGGAGTGGAAATTGAAGGGGGGAGGGGGTAATGCCGCTTAATTTCATCCCCGGTAGCCAGAAATGAGGCGTTTGACTGCTACACTTGTATATATTGTATAAATGGTGTGTAAAGGCGGTAGAGGAGGGTGAAACACAGAACGGGGCAGACGTACACGTGCATTAATACTTATTGTCATATAGACGGCGCAGCTTTTAAATGAAACATCAAAGAACCGATTCACAATTACCGACAAGCGCTCTCCGACTTCAGCTTTTTAACTATTGGTACTTGTATAGAGTGTTTAGTTATTCACAGCCAAAATGGTTTGTTCAAATCGGTCACTTTCAGCATACCTATAAAAACGAAATATTAATTCTTCGTTACAGAATTAAAACTGGCGGCGTCTTTGAGTAGCATGGCTGGCGTGGCACTTCGATGAGACGAATCAATATAAAACTGTGGAGAATAAATCCAGTCTATCCAATGTTTCAAACATGTACAATACATACAAAAAATAAGACGTCTGAAGCACTGAAGTAACAGACCTTTTCGAAAAACAGATCCTGACGTACAACACAATTTTGTATGAAAAGAAACTACATTTACACCTAAACATGTATGTCGTTTTTGTTTTCTTTATCATAAACCTACACATACTTGACAATTCTATTTCCACATTAATCATTTTCTCTCATCGACCTTAATGTCTATTTCCGGCCCGAAAATACGAACTATCGAAATGGCACAAACCAGGAGCAGGAATACTCCCATTGTAATATTTGTTCTGGCAACACAAATATATCATAAACAGGTATTTTTAATTATTTCGCATATTTTATTCACGGGCATATCGAATAAATAGGATTATTTTATTTACCATAATAGTACATGTATCATAATAACGGAAAATGATACATATATATTAACCGGAACATGACATTAACGGGAACATTATTGTAGAATTCTACAATAACCGGAACATGACATTAACGGGAACACTATTGTAGAATATTACAATAACCCGAACATGACATTAACGGGAACATTATTGTAGAATATTACAATAACCGGAACATGACATTAACGGGAACAGTATTGAAGAATATTACAATAACCAGAACATAAAATAAACGGGAACAGTATTGTAGAATATTACAGTAACCGGAACATGACATTAACGGGAACAGTATTGAAGAATATTACAATAACCGGAACATAAAATAAACGGGAACACTATTGTAGAATATTACAGTAACCGGAACATGACATTAACGGGAACAGTATTGAAGAATATTACAATAACCGGAACATAAAATAAACGGGAACATTATTGTAGAATATTACAGTAACCGGAATATTACATTTACAGAAATAACACACGAACTAGAATATAATACTTACTGAATTATACATAAAATGGAATAATATAGAATAAATAATGTCATAGTATCCTGAATGTTAAATAAAAACGAGTTCTATATGTAACACACCTCGGAAAGAATGTATCATCGATGTACCAAGTCAGTGAATAAGATTGAAAACCATTACAAAACGTAATAAAGTTGAATTCAATTAATAAGATCAAATAAATATTAATAATTCAGAATAATTTAAATTATATTATCAGGAATTACACGAAATCATTTGGGTATGAAAAAGAAAGTGGTGGAAATATTTTTACAGAAACAATCATAACGAACGTTTTGTGTTTCTTGAAAATATATAACAATAAAATGAGTACTGAATTAAAATGTATTCCATCAAGCGGAGTCAACTATATATCAATTCGCGAACATTCATATATAATGAATATTGAACTAATTTGAATTCCATTAAGCGGAGTCAACTAAATATCAATTCGCGATACTTTATATAAAAAAACAAAAGTACACGTGTCATGCTTGGAATGCGGGCCTTTGTTCCAGAGCAACCTAACTTGCCATAAATCTTCACGATGTTCGAACAGTGTCTGACAAATACACGTGCCACGCGGTAATTTGCAGGTGAGGCCTTCTGTATGTCTTTGATGTCAAACAATCCACACACAAGTGTAATTGTGTGTATTATTCCTGGCTGATTACACATACTGTTTACATGTTTGTATCTCATCTGGTGTTTCAGCTATTCCGTTAGACCTGTTCTACGGCAGTGCATGCATTAAGTGTTATTATCGTCAATAACGGCAAGTCAGGGATACATTCTGGCATACGTGAAGTGTAATTTACCCCTTTGATAAGGAAAGTCTACGAAAAACGAGCAATAACTTTGAAATCTGGCTACATTTCTTCGCCCTTGTAACAATATTTTGTTTGTCAGATTTCGAAAGTGATGTCGGTTTCACATGCTGCTGTCTAATATCGGAGAAGGCCTTTCTATATCTAGTCTAATTATATCTAATTATGAGATGTATATGTTTGCACGTAAGCTGTCAGCCGCAGCCATCTTTGGGGTGTAAATGATCCCTAATGTTTATACACCGCATTAGCTGTCCCTAACCCACTAATCTGCCAATGGGCCGGAGTGACCGGGGGTCATCGAGCCGCTAATTACTGTCTGACCGGTGGATGTAATGAGATGCTGTGCGGAATGTTCTATGATTGGCATACAGGGAAAACCGTCTGTCAAACCGAAACATTCTTTCAAAAGGAATTCTTGTAACACCCTTCATCATTTATCATATTGGGGTGTGATTTCTGATATACCAGTTCAACTCGTTTTACATTGAAAATTCGTCCTTTAAAATTACTAGATTTTCGGATGTTTGGAAAACAAATCGATGTACAGACAATAAAAATGGCAACACAAACCAAACGCATATAAATATGTTTTTATTTTAAGACAGTGATTTCGATATTTTCGCTGAAAGATGAATTCGTAAATTCAAAACGGCAATAAACATTTCCGAAAGAATCATCACCTCACTGCAAGTTCCACAAGCTTGCCTCATTTTCGGATTTTTCACTTTTTTTTTAAGACGATAATATCGTCGCGTGGAAATAAAGCCGGATACAGTATGGTTGTGTCACAGCAATTAAAGAAACTGAATACGTTCCATCATTTGTGTGTTAATTTATTATCCCGAGAAGAAGTGTCAGTACACGAATATAAGTGTAGAAGAGAAACCCCTGAAATGTACAAAATGACTGCCTTAGTACAAGTACAAGCTACAATTTCATTAAAGTTATTTTCCCGAAATATACTCCACATTACAGTAACCTTTCAATATGTAAATGGATATTTCCCTTCATCGACTATCAAGTCCTGTCAG